AGGAAGCAGGTGAGCCACCAGCACTGGGCTAGGGGACTGTTACTTTTCAACAAATTTTACATAAGGTAAAAACACTCAGAAGGCACTATGTGTTTATTAGCTATCAGTTGGTATGTATCAAATTACCTCAAAACTTAAAAGTGACTTTGAAAACAATTCAGATTCTGTGGGTTTGGAATCCAGCATATTTGGGGGGATTGTAGCTCTGGGTCTTACATGAAGTACAGTCAATATTGTCCTCCAAAGCTGAAGTCATTTGATATTTGTCTGGTCTACTGTCATGTGTACCTTTCCATAAGGCTGGTTGAGTGTCCTTATGGAGTGATAATGGTGGCTGGTTTCCCTCAGTGTGATCCCAGAGAACAAAGCAGAGCTGCAATGCCTTCTCTGACAGCCTCAGAAGCCACACATGGTCATTTCCACACAAGCCTTTGGTTACACATTTCAGCCCTTTACAGTGGGAGGAGACTAAAAAGGATATGAATGCCAGGAGGGGAGAATCACTGAAGGCCATTTTGGAGCCTGGGTACTACAAAGTCTTAGAATTTGGAATGAATGTGGGGTTTGGATGTTGGCTCCAGCAACAACTATGTGATCTTCGGAAAGTTCTTTGGTTCTATTGGCCCTCCCCATTTGCCCAACTCACCTCACAAGGTGGTTCTGATACTGGAGCAGTAAGGCTGTAAAAGTCATTTCTATAAGCCCTCAGCTTCACATTTAGACATGAGAAATCATTAATGGGAAATGAAAACCTTTTGGAGTAGAGTGTAAGTTAAAATTTTTTATTACAGAAACTGAAAATGAAAAAAACTCACCAATCTCATCACTGACACCAATCGTGACATTTTGGGGTTAAAATGTACTTCAAAGGGTTTTTTCCTTCTTCATAGAGGAAAGAATGGAGAAAATGGCTTCAATATGATGCCAAAAGGATTTACTGAAGACTTGAGTACCTCTCTCAAGCATTAAGAGAGATTAAAAATTGGATGGGTCCTTAGAGAGGTCACAAAATCTCCACCTCAAAATTTTAATCAGGCAGGGAGTTGTCATTTTCCACAATTTTGGTAAAAACTAGCTTAAATCATACTTAAGGACATTCTAAGGGGTCATATAAATCCTTTTCAGCAAAATGAAAGGAGGAATTTATTATTAAAGATGTCCTCCCATTGTTGACCTATATTGCATTGAAAAATTAATTTTTCCATCATAAAAGTAGCACATATTCATTCTAGATTTGGAATATGGAGACAGTATAAAGAAGAAAAAAAAAATGACTCAGATCTGCCACCTTAATCTAAATGCTGTATTTTGTGGCTGAAATGAAAACAATACTTTATAGAAAATAAAAACACCCCCAAATCACCCACAATCTTACAAACCAGAGATAACTATTATAAACATTTTGGTAATTACCTTTTCCACCCTTATGGGAGATTGAACAACAGCAGAATTTAACTAATGGTGAGTGGCAGGCAGGTGAGCTATGAGTTAGGGTCGCCCATCATGTGGGCAGATTCTCTGACAAGAATAGTGAGATCCTGAAGTCTCTATTCCTGACTGTCTTTACAACTTGCACAGATCTGTATTAGTCTTTCCCAATGCTGCCTGAGCAGGATCCACATACCATTCAGGGCTCACTCAGTGGGAAAATTGCTGCAGATTTCCTCAGAGATTTTCTCCAATAAAGTAATAATTGAGCTAGGGATCATTCAGCAGTTTGTGTGCCTTCCGTGTACTGAAGAATGTGTCCAATTTGGGGACAGATGATAAACCCCAGCAGATATTAGCATGAGTGTATCATAAACTGAAAGTCACACAAAGAAATGAAACGTGGGAGGGGTCAAGGAGAGAGCCACATTTGCTGACCATCTACAATGTGAGATGAGTGAATGTGATTTCTCTTTCTTTCTTTTTTTTTTGAAACAGGATCTTGTTATGTTGCCCAGACTGGTCTTGGGCTCAAGTGATCCTCCTGCCTCAGCCTCCTGAGTAAACAAGCATGGATCATCACTGTGTCCAGGCTGGCCTTTGAGTTTGTTATGTTAAGTCAGTAAGGTTTCAGAACCCACTGAAGAAAGACTGCAAAGCTGTTCAAATCCAGGCCCGCTCTAGTCAAGAGTCAGTGGTACTACATCATCTTATAATGAGGGTCAAAGGGAGGATGTGTCCTTTTGGGAATTCCTGGGTGTCTGCTGGTGGTGTGTTTGCTGCTTGTATTCTTGCCTGTGTGCTTTGTGCATAACTTTGAAAACAGTGAGCCATCCCCAAAATGGATAGAGTTCAATAGCAGTTCTGTTTATCTTACACTGCCCATGGAACCTGTGTGGACTTCCAAAAAAGAATCTGTAATAAAAGCACTGTGATAAAACCAGAAAAACACAAATCAAAAAATGGTTAATGGGTCTCATTAACTTAAACAAAAACCACAACTATTTAAGGCTTAGTGACGAATGTCAGCTTTCCAACACTTCTCCTCCCCCCACCCCCAGTACTGGGGTTTGAACTCGGGGTCTTGTGCTTGTTAGGCAGGCACTCTAACATTTGAGTCCAACACACATCTCATAGAGTCTTGTGAACATACTCTCTTTTCATGCTTAATGATGACACTGGCATTAGTTCCTGTTTGATTCTGCAAGGGTAGAGTTCTTGAAATCGTCATTATCTGAATTCTCCAATGGCCTGACCCAACTGTAGGAGCTAGCACAGTACTTGCTGAAAGAAATGAATTTCCACAGTGCCTATAACAGCCCTCTTTTGTGACTATAAGGAGTCACCACAGACTTAGTGGCTTAACACAGCATTCACTTATATCTCATACTTCTTGTGGGCCAGAAGTCTAAGACTGAAATCAAGGAGTCTGTATTCCTTTTTGGAGACTGTCTCCAAGCTTATTCAGATTGTCAGAGTTCGGTTCCATTAGGTTGTAGGATTGAGGTCCTGTTTCCTTGCTGGCTATTGACAGGCTTCTTCTTAGCTTCTACAGGATGCTTACATTCCCTGGCTTGTGGCTACCTTTAATGCCAGCAAATGAGCTGAGTTCCTTTCCCAAATTGAAATCTAATTCTTCTGCTTCATTGCTCTAAAACTTCTTCCTCTTCTGCTTTTAGAGTTCCATGTGATTACATTGGACCTGTCCAGAATATCCAGGACAATCTCTCTAAGATAAAGTCCTAAATTCCATCTGCAAAGTCCCTTTTTCTATTGAATGCAACATATTCAGAGTTCTAGGGACTAGCACTTAGGCAGTTTAGGTGGGGTGGATAGTATTCTGCCCATCGCCGTGCCTGTACTCTAAAATGTGAATTTTAGAGTGAATTTTCTTGAGTGACTCTTTGCGGGTGTGTGTAGGGAGGTGAGGCTACTCAAGAACATCTGAAACAAGCCAGACATCTTGTCAGAAGTTACTGTGTCAGCTGTAGATTGGGAAAAAAAAAATTGTAAAAAAATTAAGGGAATTGGGGTTGTAGCTCAAGGGTAGAACACTTTCCTAGCAAGCAGTGAGAACCTGGTTCAGTCCCCAGAATTACAAAAAAGTTAAAAAAATTAAAAACAAGAGTCAATTTTAGGAGGGAAAGGGGGGGTATATTCTCCCTTTCCTTGTGATGAAACTAGATTTTAAAATGTTTCTTATTTCACCTTTTGCAGTCTATTCACTTTGCAGGATTTTTGTTTACTGGATGCAAAAGTCTTGTGTGACCAGTATTAGGAGCAGAATCACTGAGCCCCTTGGTGTCAGGGGTCGGACTGCATGGTTATTGCCTTCTCTCAACACCAGATACTGCAGGCTGTGTTTCCTCGTCCAGGGAAACCTTTCAAATGTGTCCACTGACGCAGTCTTTATAGTTTTAAAGTGCAGGTCATCAATCCAGTTCAGGACTAACTGTAGAAATGTTTCTGAACATTGATTCAACAAATTTGCACAGAAAATCTATGTGCAGGGTGCTTCAAACCTCATTTCATTTAGTGCTCTGCAACCAAGGCTCACAGTCTGTCAGCTGGTACTAACAGCTACTTTGTATTAAACATTTGCTCTAATTCAGAAGTCAAATTAAAAAATGTCAAGGTCTTCCTTCACACAGTCTCCCAATCCGCCAATAACTCTGATGTTGTTAGGTTAACAATAGACGATAAAATTGAGGCTCCGAGGAGTTTTGAGGGCACAGCTGGGGACTGACCCAGCTCGGATTTCAGTCTAGGTCCATTCGACAGTAGGGCCTGAGCTCTCTCCAGGTTATTGCCTTTAAAAATAAACTCAGGTGTATTCTGGTTTGTACAATCCCAAAGTCCAAGTTCGTTATCACGAAGTTCACCAAGTGGAAGAATGCTCTAGGCTGCAGGTGCAGCCTCTGCACATGCACAGCCACACGAAGGCACAGGAGGAAATGCGGAACTCATCTGGGTCCGTCAATCGTGGAATAGCCGTTTTACTGGTATGAGTGTCTTTTTGTCTTATTAGTATGCGTCAGTGAGTCACTTAGGAGCGTAATAAAAAGGAAAGTCCTGCATCTTGTCATCTACGAGAATTATTAGGTATTATTTAAGCGGGGACAGAAACTAAGTGCGACCAGGGAGTCGAGTTACCAATTCCCAATCCCCACCGTGAAGACGCCCCTAGAAAACAAGCACGCAAGGAGTTAAGGGCGGCAGGGGGCCGCCGAGCCGCCGCCGAGCCACCGCCCCTTCCCAGCAACGCCTCCCAGAATCCCTCAGGCCTCAGCAGTTCCCGCACCTCGCGAGACTCCGCCCAGTCCTTTCCCCAAACGACTGCCCGCCCCCTTCCTTACCGAGCTCTTCGCGAAGCGGAGGACGGGAGGGGGAGGGCGGAAAAGGTGGCCGCGGGGCACGCCGGGAAGTGTGGTCCAAGCGCTTCATGCAGCCATATTCTTCCGGAGTGGGGGAGGCCAAGGAGGCATCCGGGACTACGAGTCCCAGTCACCCTTTCGGTTTGTTTTTGTTCAAAAAAAAAAAAAAAAAAACCGCACACTCCCCCTCCTCACTCTTCACACACACTCACATACACCCACGGCAGACACGCACGCACCCGGGCGCCGAAGGGAAAGCCGCGTCTCGCCATCCAGCCCTGCCGCCAGTCCTGTCTGGGTGCCTCAGCAAAGCGGGAAAGTGGAGGCCGGAGCAGTGACCTCTGACCCCATGGTTATGCGGAGCCGCCGCATTCCTTAGCGATCGCGGGGCCGCTGCCGTGGGTGACTGACGCAGCGCGGGCGCGTGGAACCGCCGCCGCCCCTCCCCCATCGCTGCCCTCGCGCCGGGTCTCGCGCCTGTCGGTCCCCGTGCGCCTGCCCCTCCCCGGCCGCACCCGAGTCCTCGCGCGCGCCGCCGCCACGCGCCCCCCGCCGCCCGCCGCCCCGCGCCGCCGCCCCAGCTCGCCCCGCCCGGAGGTCCCGCGTGGAGCCGCCGCTGCCGGGGAGGAGGAGGATGAAGGACAAACAGAAGAGGAAGAAGGAGCGCACGTGGGCCGAGGCCGCACGCCTGGTGAGGCGAGCCGCCCGGGGGGCCTCGGTGGGGGGCGTGGGGGGTGGGTTCGCTGCGCACCCCCGCCGGAGGGGGAGGGGCGAAGCCCTGCCCACCGCAGGAGGGGGCGGGGCCACCCTTGCTTTAGAAACCTCGCAACCCCCCGAGGCGCTGGGCGGGGGGACTGGCCCCCCGCCGGGATGGGATGTGGCGCCCTTTCTGCACTCCCCCACTCCGCCCCGAATTCTTGCGGAGGGGCGAACTGGCCGGCAGCTCCTCCCTCTGGGCGACGGGGCCCCAGCCTCCCCTCCCCCACCATTCGCCGGTCTGGGGGTCGCGGGAAGCTGGGTTTATTCGCCGCGGGAGTTGGGTTTCCGGGAAGGGTCGGGAGCCCCTCCCTCGCTTCTTGGTCGGTAATGGGGTGGTCAGTTGGACTCGGGGTAGGAAAACGCCCCCAATTTCAAGGACGTGAGAGGCGTTTTTGAGCTTCCCATTGTAAACTAGGTGCATGTAGGGAAGCAAGTGCTTGCTCCCGGCTTGAATCCTGAGTAGTGGTTCTCCAACTTGAGCGCCCTGCGGGATGACACCTGGGGAGGTTGTTTAAAATCTGTCCCCGGGCCCTTAACGCCTACACAGTAGAGATCCTGGGCATCGGTACTTTAACCCTCTTCACAGGTGACTAGTGCAGGTGGGCTGTGGACCACACTTTGGGAACCGCTCTGATTAGACTGGAGGTGGGCGCTTGGCAGAGAACTGAATGCACTTTGCAAAGAATGTGTGTTGGACAAAGACAGCGTCTCTGTGAAGATTCTGTTCACGGAGGGCTTAGCAAAGCAGGGTAATTTGAGTGCTTGAGAAGCCTGCTGAGGGGGCCGAAAATTTTCTGATTTCGAAGCGGCAGAGTCACACTTGCAAGGGTGACAGCTTCCTCTTGGATTTGCACCGCAAAGCCAAGACACTTGGACATGTTTTCATGACTATAGTAACAGGTTCGACTTCTCCTAGAGAAGTCACTGTCTCAGGACTGTCACAGAGCAAGGTTATGGTGCACATAGCATACATGTCTATGGACAGTAGTTTGTTTGTCATTGCTTTTCTTTGCTTTTTGGTGGCACTGGGGTTTGAACTGAGGGCCTCATACTTGATTAGGCAGGCACTCTGCCACTTGAGCCACTCCGCCAGCCCTTTTTTTTGTGATGTTTTTTCCAGAGATAGCATCTCTTGAACTATTTGCCCGGACTGGCTTCAAACCGCTATCCTTCTGATTTCGACCTCCTGAATAGCTAGGATTACAGGCGTGAGCCACCGGCGCCTGTCTTTTAATTGACTTTTAATGATGAATGAAGCTCAACCTTATTTTTTCTCTTATTCGGAAGTGTTTTCTGATTCAGAGTTTTTTCCTCAAAAATGAATGAGTCTACTGTACAGACTTTTTCTTTTTGGAGTCTGTGGACCTAAGTTACTGATTTATAAAAACTGAGGCTGTCAGAAGCTACCAGAGAATTTTCACTCTGTGTTCCTGATAGTCTTCCCTAGCCATTTGTTGCTCTGGGAGCAGAAACAGTAATTGTTTGTCTGAAGTTGTGGTTCAGGTTATTTATTTTTGTTGGCCTGTGAAATTTAAAGATTTTGAAGCTCCTAAATATTTTTTATTTTCCTTGATTCAGTCAAAATCTGTAGCTTTGGCTATTTTATAGGATCTTGGAAATTTCAGGATTTCTTAAATGTTGCTTCACCTGGAAACAAACTTAGGTCCCAAGGGGAGTAGGAAAGAACCAAAAAGCTGTGTTCTCTTTTGCCTCTGAAGTTGAGCCTGGAGTGTTCATTGAAATTTCCAAGTTTCTGTGTGCAGGTGTTTATGACCCTGGGCACCCAAAGGAAATTTGCTTGCCAGAGTTGTACTTGTTAGGGGTAGGTGAAAGTACCTTTAACTGCTGTGTTATTTATGTCCTGACAGAATTCTGAAGTCTACTTGCCTCAACACTCCGTTGGCTTTTACTAGTTCAAACACTCAAGGAATTTGGGGTCCACAGTTATGTTAAGCCTCCTTGGTTCTTAAATTTACTGTGGTCTGCACTCCTCCACTGTTGAGTGTGCTGTTTGTGTTTTATCGTTGACTTGCTCACCTGCAAGCCAGATTATCCAAGTAAGTTATTTCTTTTGCTTCTGTGGCTCTTCATTAAAAACAGTAATAGGGATAGAAATTTCTTTATGCTGCAGTTATATATTTGAATGAGAACTAGTGGAAGTGTATTATGTGATTTTTTTTTTTTTTGTATCTTTTGTGTGTTTTTGTTTTAGGATTTTCTGTCCCTTTGGACAGTAGATGGGGGATGTGTTTTTTTTTTTTTTAATGTCACACTGAGTGCAGGGGAGTTTATGAGCGTGTACACTGAATAGCGGGATACCTGGCAAGGAGTGAGCTGGCGTGTTAGGGCGGTTAGCTAGATTACCTGACCACTATTATTACTCTACTTTTTAGACAGGTGAATCTGGAGTGCTTGCAGTGGTGATCATGTGCACTTGCTGGGTGGCAGTTTCAGATTGCTCTTGACCTTACTCAGAGTGTTGGCTAGAGTAGAAAGCTTTTTAAAAGCGGTTTTGGTGTAAGGAAAGAAAAGAATTCTGGAGTATTTCAATAAAGTAGTGTACTCCAGCAGATGGGTTTTCGCAGGTGTTGTGTTGTTGGTAAGTAGACACTCTTCTTTCAAATGTCTTGTAGTACAGTATTGTCTTTTCTAGATGAAAAAGTAGATTTTAGGGAGCTTGGGTATAAATTCTCCTGCTTATTAGGAACAGTTTGTTTGAGAGAAGTACTGTAGGGGATTTTCCTTTAAATTGAGTATCAGCTTTAAATAGATTCTCCGTGGCTTTGAGAAACTCTTCATTGAATGCTTTATCTTTCACTTTGATTCATGGCTGACCATTCTTAGATCAAACATTTTTTTCCTTTGAAGTAAAGGAGATACTTTTTTTCTTTTTAAAAAAAATGTGCAGTCTAAAAAGACAGGAATAGAACACTGCTGAATTGTTCTTACACTAAAAGCGGGCATATGCAGTTTTAATAAAAATGAATACTTTGTCTTTTGATGTAACTTCCCTTTAGAGATTTTTGTTTCCTCCATCTTAGATTATCAGACTCTTCCTGACTGCTATTTAAATAATTGGTAGCTAATTTTTCAATTAAAAAATTATCTTAGGAAGATTTGCTAGCAAAGAAATGCTATCTTGTTGCACTGAACATTAGTAGCTTGTACCAGGATTTATGGTAGGTTTGTTCAAGTCATCACTGCCTGTCTTGGCACTTAGGTTCACCTTTGAGGAGCTTATGGTTTTCTGGGGAGAGGGAGGGTTCAGACACATGAATAGAATTGCAGTCATGATAAATGTTATGTATAAGTGGTAAGCAAGTATCCTGGTTTCTGCCTGCTGTCCAGGCATAATTACAATTAGTTCCTTCTTTCACTTTCAAGCATTTTAGTTTGGAAGATAGTTATATGTACTGTGGAACAATGGGGACACTGAAAAGAGACATTTAACTCTGCCTAGAATAGGTCAGGAGGAAGGTGCTTTCTAAGCTGAATCTTTTTTTTTTGGCAGAATTGGAGTTTGCACTTGGCCTCATACTTGCTAAACAGGCATTGTATAGCTTTAGCCATACCTCCAGCCCTCTGAGCTGAATTTTATTTATTTACCTATTTTTGGTGTGGCTGGAGTTTGAACTCAGGGCTTTGTGCTCACAAAGCAGGCATTCCACTACTTGAGCCACACCTCCAAGCCCAATTTTTCTCTGGCTATTTTGGAGATGGGGTTTCCAGAAGTATTTCCTCGGCTGGGCTCAAATTACGATCCTCCCAAGTAGCTGGGATTACAGTTGTGAGCCAATGGTGCCTGACTTCAGAGCTGAATCTTGAAGGATAAGGAGGAGGTAGACACATACAGCACACATAGCAGGAGCTGATGAGAAGAATTAGCAGAGAGAGCGAGAGAAAAAAATGTGAGTATGAATGTAAATGTTACTTTCAAGGTGTGGAAATTGGTTAGAACTGAGTTAATGAAGTAAAGTTGTGAAGTATCAGTGTGGCAGTCAGGTGGACAGCCAGGCAAGGACCAGATTGTGAGGGCCTTAAATGTCAGATCACTGGGCACCTGCTCTGTGCCTGGAGGTACTGTAGATACTGATGTTATCTTAATCTGTAAAACAACTCTTAAGAGGAAGACATCAGTACCCTTCAAAAGTGAGGAAACCTAGCCTCAGGTTGGGTGGGTACTTGCCTTGGTTTTATGTGTGTGTGTTTTGTTTTTGCTTTTTGTGGTACTGGGAGTTGAACTCAGGGCTTGCACTTGCTAGGCAGGTGCTGTGCCACTTGAGACACTCCACCAGCCTGTTGCCTCAGTTTTGAAGGATGAAATTTGAATACAGGCCTGTCTGGTTCCAAAGTCTGTGCTTCAGTGGGCAGGGGTGTCTGGAGGTTTCAGTTTTTGCTCTATGTGATTAGGGAGCTGCTGAAGGATTTTAAAGCAGGAAAGTAATGAGGGTACATACGCTTTGTGGGTTGACTGGAGGCTATGGCATGTGAGTTCTGCCAGAGCGGGGATTTTGTCTCTTTACTATGAAACCTAGAATTGTGCCTGGCACAAAGCAGGGTGATCTGTGTATTTGTTGAATGAAGGATAACAGTAGAGTAAGAATGGATTTGAGGAAACCAGGGCTAGCTTTAAGAATATTAGTGAAGAGACTGTTGTGTTGAGTCAGGTAAGAGACTGGCTAGGGGGTCAGGGTCTGTATGAAAGTGAGGGATGTTGCCTGCTTTTCAGAATCAAGTAATTAGACTTCTAGCCAAAGTAAGCAACACAGGGAAAAGACTGGGTCTTTGGGGGGAAATGAATTAGAGATGCTGATTAGATGAATTAGAGATGAATGAAGAGTAGACAATCAATGGAGTATGTCCTGTGTAGAGCTGACTATTGGAATCTGAAGCTTAGGGAGAAGTCAGGGCTAGAGGTAGAGATTTGGGATCGGAGTTTAATTCTGATTACAGTAATAATTGACACTGTGAGATATTACCCAAGAAGAATGTAAAAATTGAGAAGAGGCTAAGGAGGGAACCATGGGAAATAGGAGTTTTATTTTAGCACTTGACTTTCTTTAATGCTAAGGGCTTGTGCTTTTCCTTAGAGAGTACCTTCAGCAGTCCTTCTGAACTCCTTGAGTTCCATTTCATTGGTGGCAGAGCATACGGTGGTTAAGGTTGTTCAGTGACTGCGATATGTTAGTTTGGAGTAATCTCAGCAGCTGCACAGGCAGTGACAGTGTGTTTCCTTCCTTAGAAGAGTAAACGCTTTATAAAACAACTCAACTTATGCAGTTGTTTGCTAAGGAAATAGTGTGGTTGATTTAGTTATAGATGAACTAACATAAATGGGTCATTCCATTTCTCATTGTTTTGCTTGCACCAGTCACACAGAATCATAGCGTCTTGTTGTCAAATGGCAAAATGTACTGTGGCATTTGCCACCAGAATTTCTCAACACAGTGGCAAAGAGCACTATTTAAAAATGTGGTACTAATCTAATGTCCTTGGGGAAGACATTCTGAACAAATTCCTGGCTTATAATTTATTGTGAAACAGTATACATCCTGTAGTTTAGCCATATTAACAACGTCAAATTAAGCAGTCATCAGAGTTGCTAAGGTCTTAAATACCATAACATGTATGTGAAAAAGTTCTGTGTCCTTAGAACTGAGAATTAGAAAATTACACTTAGTTGCAATAACTTTCAGTATACTGCACATACTTGTAAAATTTTTTTTTTTTTTTTAATAGGGTCTCTCTGTTTAGCCTTGGCTGACTTTGAACTTAAAATCCTCCTGCTTCTGCCTCCAAAATGCTGGTATTACAGGTGTTTCATGCCTGGCTGTCATTTGTTTTCTGAGTTTGTTTATTTATTTTGAGGGATAGTTACTGGAAATGGAACTTAGGGCCTCATGTGTGCAAGGTAAGTACCTTAACCACTGAGTCATGCCCCCAACCTTGAAGTAATTTTAACTGTGGAAAAACTTGTCATTAGTGTTACCTCAACAAAACTATAGCCCGTGATAGATTGATGGCTATAAATGGAAATACTGAAATTGGGACATTTATGTTTTTCAGGTATTAGAAAACTACTCAGATGCTCCAATGACACCAAAACAGATTCTGCAGGTCATAGAGGCAGAAGGACTAAAGGAAATGAGGTTCGTATTGCTCTTGTTGCTTAACATGAGTGTTTCATGGGACATGTGTGTCTCTGTAGTTATATATTGATCTGAGTAACCCACCTGTCTGGTATCCGTGCTTGTGTATCTGGTGGTAGTGTTGCATTATCTATGGCCAAGGTTGTGTGCCCTGAGTGGAGGGTGGGAGTGGGTGAAATACATTTATTTCTATCAGGATATCCTCCCCTAGATCTTGACCTAGAGCTAGTTTTGTGTGTGCATGTAGAGAGGGGTCATTTTCTCTTGGATTCTGCTTTACAAGTTTTAGTAATAGAGAAGGGACAGATCAAGATAAACTGTACTGTATCTAAAATAACCCTTTTCTCTGCCATATCATTGAAATTCTTTAGGGCCAAAGAATGATGGTCTTATTGGCATAAAACCCGCTAGCTACTTTTCTCCCTTACAGACTGATTCTACTCATTCATTTCACGAATATACTAAATTTTGGAGTGACCTCAATTTTCTTTTCTTGTGGTATAGTTTTATTAGAGAAGCAACAAGTTAGAAACACAAAGGGAATTGCATACAAGAAAACCAGTGACCTTAGTCCTTCTCTGTTCTTACCCTTATCCTTTTTTTTTTTTTTAATTTAAAGAGGAAGGGGGAGATTACAACAATACTTTTTCATACTCAGAACAAGCAGCATATGTTTTTTCTGGTCAAGCTGTAGCTGCTTGAATTGACCTTTTAGGCTCAGCATTTGTTGACTTTCCAGTTCTTTGAGCTAATGTTTTATGGCAAAGGAAAATTAGGATTGTCTAGATCATATTTATTTGTCTTGTACCTATATACTGTGCAGTGTTACAATTGTGCTTTATTTTTGTTTTCATGGACTATTTCCTATCATGGTGCTGTCTGCATTGCTGTTGGACCACTATTCCTATAGAAGGTAAATTAATCCCTTTTGGACACATGGAATTGAGAACCATAACTTGTTTCTTCCTCCTTGCTCTTGTAAGAATTATGAAGTAATTCTTGTAGCTTGTGTTGAGTGAGCAGCGCTGTCATTTGTAGACAGAGTTATAGTGTGTAGGAGTCGTAGAAGGACTCTGCCAACATGCTGTCCCCTCATAGCAGAGATGCTGGCCACCCACTTTATGCTCCAGATTCTGTACCAGCCTTCTTGTAGAGATTGGTTCTTGGTTTTTTGTTTTTAGCATCCAGTATGGTCCAAAGTAGAAAAATAGTCCTATTTTTCTTTTTTTGTTTATAGAAATTTATTAAAGTTGTTGGTTTAATCCTCTGTCCCAGAACATCTGTCTAGTTGCCTTTCAAAGGTTAGGCTGCTATGTTTGTTGCTGGCATACAAGCCTTTGCATTTGTCAAGATAGCAATGCATCTACATCTACGTGCATTTCTCCAGCTGTGAATTCTATGTTGTCTAAGCAGGATCTTTTTTTTATTTTTTTTATTTATTTATTTATTTTTGGTGGTACTGGGGTTTGCACTCAGAGCCTCATGCTTGCTAGGCAGGTGCTCTACCACTTGAGCCACTCCACCAGCTCTTTTTTTTTTTTTTTTTTTCTTTAATGGCTTTTTTACATTCAGAACTTATTTTTAATGCTGTAAATTAGGGGCTCTATTTCTGAAAATAGAAGCTTTACCTAAGATACTTATATATTTTTTGAGCATACTGGGGAGAGGGAAGAGAAAGTGCACACATGAATCCTAACACTAACTTGTTAGTGCCAAACATAGATAATATTAATTACGGGCATTTGTCTATTTTTGGAGATTTTCTGTTTTAAGATTCAGCAAATAGTCTCTACCTTATTGAGTAGTCTTTTTTTTTTTGGGGGGGTTCTGGGTTTTGACTACACCTTTAACCATTCCACCAGACCTTTTTTGCGATACGTATTTTTGAGATAGGGTCTCATGAACTATTTGCCGAAGGATTGCTTCAAGCTGATCCTCCTGATCTCTGCCTCCTGAATAGCAAGGATTACAAGTGTGAGCCACCAGCACCTGGCTACTATGCCATCTTTTTAGTTTAATGATTAAGCATTGCTGGATATGAAATCCATTTGATAGACTTTTCTTTTTGCATTAAATTTAAATGCTCATTCCTATGTAGATGTAGAGTGAAACTCAACAACCTCCTTTTTCAACAGAGAAAAAGCAAATGTACTATTCCTTTTGTGTGCTTAGTAGAAAATATTTAACTGAAAAAATAAAGTATGCTTGTTTTATTGGGACAGCACCATTGATTCTGTGGTTTTTGTGTAGCTAGTTTCTAAGCCGAACTGTTGAGACTAAGAAATGCTGTTTTGTATTAATGGTAAAATTTTATCAAGATGTAAGTTTGTAAATTTTATTAAAATACATAACTGAAAAAAAGTAAGGTCTTTTTCTAAGTGGGAATTTGGTTCATATTGTCAGAAAGCGTTCAAGAGTATGAGCTATGTATTTTGAGTATCACATAATACACTTTAGCCTAGACCTCTCTGATTATGATTTATGTGAATTTTAGTTGATTACTCTAACTACTTTCACAGTAGAATTGTTGTCATGGGATCTTATATATTTCTTGTTCTGCTCTTGTCAATTTAAAAACAGTTGGAAGAATTGGGTCTTCGGTAGTTAGACATGTGGATCTGCATGCCGCTCATCCATTCTTTTGTATTTTACAGTGGGACATCCCCTCTCGCATGCCTCAATGCTATGCTACATTCCAATTCAAGAGGAGAGGGGCTGTTTTATAAATTGCCTGGCCGAATCAGCCTTTTTACACTCAAGGTAAGTAATGTAAACTTTGTTTTAGTACAGTGATTCTCAAAAACGGTTAGTGTGCATAAGAATCACACTGGTAGGTTTAGAATGTGCCCATGAATTTGTTTTTTTCTAAGAAGCAGTCAGGTGACACTGGTACTGTTGGTCTTAAATTCATTGAAATACTCTAGTGTGAATAGAGCATTAGGAATTATTAACTCATATGAGCTATTGCTTCTGTGTTTAGCTTTGCTTGTCTGCATCTTTGTAGATTGTATGCAATTGAAAAATAAGTATGTGTGGGGATAAATGCAAATGTGCCCTTATTAGGATTTTGTTTATAATATTGTGAAGAAAAATTACTAGACAGCTAAATTAATACCTACTTTATGGAAAATAACTGAAATGTGAACATTAGTATTTATTAAGTGACACTAATTACAAAGAAAGCTTAAATAGAGCTGAAATGAACAAGCTAATCATTTTTCTACCATTTCTGATAGTATTTGGACCATGGGCCTGCCAACTTTTTCTGTAAAGGCACAGAAAATAAATATTTCAGGTTTTGTGGGCCTGCTGTCTCTGTCATAACTAGTCAGCTCTGCCTCTGTAGCAGGAAAGCAGCCACAGAACACACGTAGACAAATGGACAAGACTATGTTCCAGTAAACAAGTGTTTAATTTATTTACAAATGTTTAATTTACAAAAATAGGTGGTGGCCACATTTGACCTTGGGCTCAGTTTGTTGACCCCTGATTTAGATGACTTGCTTACTGTAGAGAAACTGAAAATTTAGTGCTGATTCTTAAATTCCTCCACAATGTATTTGTAAATTGGAGTAGTTGTTATATAAACTTCTTCCTTTCAGTTTTGTTTACTTGGTAGACAACTAATTAAAAATTAATTAATTTTACAGGCACTGGGGACTCACGCCTGTAATCCTAGCTATTCAGGCAGAGATCAGGAGGCTCATGGTTCAAAGCCAGCCCAGGCAAATAGTTCATGAGACCCTATCTTGAAAAATACCCAACCAAAAAAGATGGAGTGGCTCAAGTAACCAGTGTGAGATCCTGAGTTCAAACCCCTGTACTGCCTAAAAAAAAAAAAAATTTAAATCTCTGAATAAGTATCAATCATATAACCTGTAGTCATAAAACTTGTTTTGTTTTTTTTTTTAATTTATAAAACTTGTTCTTTCTGTGTATATCAGCTGTACACATTTTGGAGACAGGGTTTTGCTGTGTGTTGCTAAGGCTGGCCTTAAACTCGTGGGCTTTAGTGATCCTCCTGCCTTCACATTCCAAGCATCTGGGGCTATAGGCTTGCACCACTGTGCAAGGCTTTTTTTTTTTTTTTTTCCAGAGCTGAGAATTTAACTAAGCACCTTACATACACTAGGCAAGGCATCTACTACTGAACTGTATCCCAGCCCCAGCTGTAGCTCATGTTCAGAAGTCTGTGCTGTTTTCTGTATTTTTATTTCTTTTTTTTTCCTTGGTGATACTGGGGTTTGAACTTTAGACTTCATACTTGCTAAGCAGGTGCTCTGCTGTTTGAGCCATGCCTTCAGCCCCTTTTGTGCTAGTTTTTTTGGAGATAGGGTTTCACTTTTTGCCTAAACTGGCTTGGACTATGATTGTCCTATTTCACATTTGCTGCTATGGCTGGGATGACAGGCACATGCCACCATGCCCAGCTTTTTTCCTGTTGAGATGGGATCTCTTGAACTTTTTGCCTCGGTTGGCTTCAAACTGTGATCCTTCCAATCTCGTCCAAGTAGCTAGGATTACTGGCATGAGCCACCAGCACCCATTTTGTATTTTCATTCCTTATAGTTTGAACTTTGGTTTTCTATCTTGTTTTTGCTTGCTTGCTTTTCTTGGTTTTTGTTTGTTTCTATTGGGGATATAGTTCAGGGGCAGAGTGCTTGCCTATTACGTGCAAGTCCCTGGGTTTGATCCCCAGCACTGGCATGCTGCACGCACACACACTCACACACACTCACTCTCATTCTCTCTCTCTCTCTCTCCTCTCTCTCTCTCTCTCCTTCTCTCTCTCTCTCCCTCCCTCTCTCTCCCTCACTCCCTCTCTCCCTCCCTCTCTGTCCCTCCCTCTCCCTCCCTCTCTTTCTCTGTCTCCATGAGATAGGGTCCTATTGTGTTGTCCAGGCTGGTCTCAAAGTTCTGTGCTCAGGTCACCTCAGTTTCTTGAGTAGCTGGAACTACAGGTACATGCTACCACACTCCTGTAGATGCTTTTCTTAATGGTCAACCTTGGGAGAAACAGGTTCCAGTGTTCAAACTCTAGCTTTGTAACCAATGATGAATTTAACCATTCTTTATGTTTATGCACCCCTGGCAGTGAGTCTTTAATAAAGCTTTAATAAATGATAGCTTTTATGGTGTTCCTGGGTTAATGGTATTTTTCTAATAATCTGTATTATGAAATACTATGTAATTCTGTGTAGTTATGCATACTGTATGTTACATCTATGCCTACTAATGGCATATTTCTATCTTTAACAGAGAGGAGAATATTACTGTTGTCTTGGTGCTGTTCATTGAAACCCAGGGCCTTGAGCATGCTAAGTGCCCATTCTGCCACTGAGCTGCACCTGCAGCCCTGAGAAATACTTACCTCTATAACTACCTTGAGTGTACGAACTGAGTTTTATTTGTCAACTTGGGTCTGGATAGAATTGTTGACATAATCTGTGCTTAACAAATATTTGGACTGAATTTTTTCTTTATAACATTAATACGTCTGAGTAAATACCATTATGTGAACCTGCTATAAACATAGATGTTAAGTCTATATATGTGTCTAAGGTGCATTGATTGAAGATGAACTCAGTACATCATACACTGCTTTTGGCGTATGTTGCTTATCCTTCCTAGCATGTTGTTCATTTGCCTTGTACATTTGTAAGCATCACTTCTCTAATACTCATTGTGTTCTTTTTGGATTAGTGATTTGCTTGTCTGGCTCCTCCGTTTAGACCGTAAACTTCTTGAGGGCAAAGTCGTTATCTTACTCATTTCGGTATCCCATGGCACTAGACAGTAAGCTGCCTTCAATAAATATATTTGATGAATGAATTAGTGAGTAATGGCTACATTCTGGTATTTTATTATTATCCTTTTGTTTTAACATGTGGTCACAGACATTGCTTATAATTTTGATGTAACTATTCCTTGAAGCAACTCTAGCATCTACTGTCTGTTGCTGTGGCTTTGGTAGGATTTTAATTTGGTTAAAGACCTGTGTGTGTCTTAATGTTTTTGGCCTATTATAAAAGCAATATATGCAAATGTAAAAGAGAAAGCAAAATGCAGCAAAATGAAAGTAATCTATAAAAAATTGTACCTGTAACTTAAATATTAATTTATATTAAAATTTGAGTACAGTGGATATTTACTTTGCCATTTGCTTTATTTATTATATGTGTATATGTGTGTGTTTTGTATATATACATATGCACACACGCATATATATAAAGCATATATGTGTGTGTGTGCCCTTTTTTTTTTTTTTTTGATACTGGCATTTGAACTCAGGGCCTCACATTTGCCAGGCCAGGTGCTCTACCATTCGATCCACTCCACCAGACCTTTTGTTTTTGAAACAGGGTCTCTTCTTTCTCCTGGGCTGGCCTTGAACTTCTTTATCTTCCTGCTGCAGTCTCCTGGGTAGCTAGGATTACAGATGTTCCACCACACCTGGCTTAGAGCATGTGAGAGAGAGAGAGAGAGAGAGAGAGTTACTGGGGTTTGAACTTAGGGCCTCATACTTGCTAGGGTCCTATAAAATTTTATGCTTGAACTATCTTATGTGCATCCATTGTAATCCTAGCTACTCAGGAGGGAAAGAACAGGAGGATTGCAGTTCAAAGCTAGCCCTGGACAAATAGTACATGAGACCCTATCTTGAAAAAACCCAACTCAAAAAAGACTGGTAGAGTAGCTCAAGTGGTCTAGTGCCTGCCTAGCAAGCTTGAGGCCCTGACTTCAAACCCCAGTGCCATAAAACAAAAAGAAAAAAAAGTCTATGTGCAATTCTGTCTGGATTTTTTTGGGGAGAGTGGGGTTGGTAGGGTAATACTGGGATCTTAACTAAGGGCCTGTTGACTGGGTTGGTGCTCTGCCACTTGAGCCATCCCCCACCCCTAGCCTTTTTGCTTTAGTTATTTTTAGAATATTTATTTAGTTATTTTTAGAATAGAGTCTTGCATTTTTTTTGCCTGTGTTGTTCTGGACCATGACCCTCCTATTTACGCCTGCCATGCAGCTGGGATGACAGGCACCACTGTGTCCAACGTATTGGTTGAGATGGAGTTTCGCTAACTTTTTTTTGGCCTGGCTGCCCTGACCTCTGCCTCCTGGGTAGCTGGGCTTATAGAGCCATTGCATCTAGTTTATAATTTCATAACTTTCTAAAATCCTGCATCCATGGCTAGAGGCATGGCAAATAGAGGGCCTGCCTATCAAGCACAACGCCTTGAGTTCAAACCCCAATACCTTTATGTTTTACTGCCTAGATCGTGTGTACTGTTCCAGGTTGTTGCCCCAAGCTACTTAGCACTGAAGTATGAAAGTGATGGGATATTTTGTAGAGTGGTCTAACCAGTGGAATTTGGTAAGAATTCTCCTTGTAATAGGGGACAGAAGGCTCTAATTATTTAACTCACATTTCTGCTTTTCCTTTTCAGGGTTCCTTTTCTGATAAAAATTGTCCTGGGTATATTTGGCACATTCTGTGTAGATGCTTCCATCAGTACTCATAACTAGTCCTTGGATGGATAAAATAAATGAAATCTGTTTCGAATTCTCCATTTGAATTGTGTCCCTTAAGCTTTTCCTGATTCATCTGATAGTGTTGATCATTGACTAGTTAGTGGTGGGAGTTATATATTTTTTTATGCCTTAATTTTCCTGTTGTCATAAAACCACTGTGATCTCCTTTCTAGTGTTCTAATTTTTTAGGACTTTCATGCTAAACTAATGCTTTTGTGACTCAGCGGTTGTGTCACTGGTGGGTTAGTGAATGGTCATAGCAGCATTCATTGACAGGCATATCTGTGGTAATCACCATTGTTCAATTTTGTGTTGACTGATGCTCAGATATAGAAATGCTGCTTCTAGCTATTTATCCTTTATTGTACCTCATGTCATGATGTAGAGTTTGTCTTTTTTTATTCAGTTAGTAAGCTCAATTGATTTTTTTTTTTTTTGGTGGTACTGGACTTTGCTGCTTGCTAGGTGGGCATTCATTTAAGCGATGCCTGTAGCCATTGAAGTATCTTAATGTATAGAATATTTTTGTTCAGGATGTTTTTGTTTTTGAGGCCTGGAACTCACAATGTAGTCATTCTGGCCTTAAATTTGCAGTCCTCCTGCCTTACTCTCCTGAGTGCTGGAATTATGGGTATATAGCACCACCACACCTGGCCTTAGAATATCTTTTAAAGGTGTCTCCTCCTCACCCCCACCCACTGTGGTACTGACGGTTGAACTCTTTCTTGCTAGGTAAGCACTGTACTGCTTGAGCCACACCCTCAGCACTAAATATTTAGGGGTTTAAAAAAAAAAAAACTTTATGAAAAGTGACTACACTTAACATATTCTTCCATTAAAATAAGCAGTTTACAAATTAAAGAAAGGAAGAAAAAACAGAGAAGTAAAGGAGATAATAATTACATTCTTACAATGCTATTTAAGTGACTACAATTAAAATTTTTTATGTACAACTCCATACTTAGCAGTTTCCGAACTATTTATATAACCATTGCATACCAAGAAAAGAAAAACAGAGTTAGCTTAGACTTAGATACGATCAAATCATAGAGCCTGTCATTTCAAAGGCAGTTTCAGGATCCATTTTGATTTTTGATAGGTGCATAGCAAATAGTC